AAAAAAAAATTACGTGTAAAATATTTTATTGTGTGAATGTATAAATAAAAATGAATACATGCAAAAAAATGATTTTCAAATAATGATCGTAATTAATTGTCCCAATAGTTTTGACCACTAAACTTATCCAAACATTGAACGTTACTTGATGACAAAACATCCATTTCAAATCTCTAACGAAATTGATGATGTGGCTGATGGAATATACAGGTGATGCCCTCGTCACATTCTTACCAAATTGTTACCTAAGAAAACGTCTTTCATTGCTCACTAAATTTTGAAAAACATTTTCGATTGCTCTTATATTTTAGAAAACATCTTCGATTGCTAATTGAATTTTAGGGTGGTCGAATTTTGATGACCAAAACGTATAAAAATGACGTCGATATGTTGTTCGCTAAAAAAATGTGTATCGCAAGAGCATGTGTCGTGTACAAGTAGTAAAGTGAACAAACAAGTTTGAGTTGTCGATCCCATGAATAATGATTACTCAATTAAACAAAAGTTACATTTAATTTTAACAACGAAAATAAATTTATATTTTTTAAATGAAGAAAATAATTTAAAATTATACAATAATAACGAAAAAAACCAAATAATAAAATTGAGAAAATATCTTATGTCGTGATGTTTCGTTAGGTTTATTATATTTGGCAATAAAGGAAATAATTCTTACACTCGGCAAAACTTAAGAAGTTTAACTGTAATTAAAACGTGGGAAAATTTCTCTTGACAACAATTTAAATTATTTAGCTCAATTAATCATGCTTATATTTTCATCTGCCAATTCAGACATTGCTCCCCCCCTCCTTTCGTACGATTACAGGAGGAGAGACTAGGAATTCTAGCAAAAAGGCATAGAAATCGCCAACGTTAAATTTAACGCCGGAAGATGGTCATTACAACGTCGTCTTCTTTTCATTTCTTTGGGTTTCAATTCTTCTCCGAAATTATGGGGGATGAGGACGGTGTATTTTTTGGTGGTGCTCAGGGCCGGCCCTGGCCCAAGGCTACTAAGGCAGTGGCCTTGGGCC